GGGGCGCAGTGGCTCACGCCTGTAATCCAGCACTTCGGGAGCGAGGGGGTGGGTCACAAGGTCAGGAGATCGAGACTATCCTGCCTAAACAGTGAAACCCCATCTCTACTTAAAAAAAAAAAGTACAAAAAATCAGCCGGAGTGATGGTGAGCTCCTGTAGTCCCAGCTACTCGGGAGGCTGAGGCAAGGAGAATGGCCTGGAGGCAGTAATTATCTCCTGCTCCCAAGGAGAGTCTTAAATAGTTTGATTATGGCTGAAGACTATCAGTTAGTATGTAATCAGCAAAACTTCTTCAGGAAACATTCTACAAACCAACATAGGCAAAGGGAGCAGGGATTGAGAATTACTTTTATATATAAGAAAAAATGAAAAAGTTTGATTTCTCTGTATCCAAGTAACAACTAAATCTATTTGTACATTTGATAAATTCATATATTTAAAAGCAGAATATTGTCCCCATTATTAGCAGTATTGTATTAATAGAAATACAATATCTAAGCATAAATTAAGTATATTAAAAATTCATAAACAAGCTAAATTTAATTAAATTTTTCTCTTTATAGTTTACTTAACTTTTTATTTTAAATTTCTATGGATACATAATACTTACACATATTTATAGGTTACTTGTGGGTACATGTGGGTTACATTTCCATATAAGCATATAACATATAATGATCAAATTAGAATTACTGGAATATTCATCCCCTTAAATATTTATTTTTTGTGTTAGGAACATTCCAATTCCACTTTTCTAGTTGTTTTAAAATATACAAAAATTATTGTTAACTGTAGTCATCTTATTGTGTTATTGAACACTAGACTTTATTCCTTTTATCTAACTGAATTTTTGTACCCATTAACCAACCCTTCTTTAGCCTTCTTCCTACTACTCTTCCCATCCCCTGGTGACCATCATTCCACTCTCTATTTCGAAGGAATCGACCTTTTTAGCTGCCATATATAAATTAGAACATGCACTATTTGTCTTTCTGTGTCTGACTTATGTGGTAAAATACACAATGAAATATTATTGTCATTAGAAAAATGAAATTCTGTCATTTGTAACATAATGGATGGAACTGGAGGACATTATGCTAAGTGAGATAATCCCTTTATTATTTGTGGTCAGTTTAAAGAGTCCTGATATAATTAATATCTGTGGGGCAACTAAGAATTGCCAAAAGAGATCCATTAAAATGTTACAAGTGTTGGCTAGTGATTAGCAGTGATTATCAATGAAAAGCTTTAATAATTACTTGTATCGAGACTACAGAAAAGAAGACTGGAAAGCTTTAATGTCATCAAACAAGATGTGATGCATGACATTTAATAAATCATCTCTCTCTTTAAGCAAGAAAGTATATACATTAGAGCACAGCTTCATTAGCTTTGATAAAATCATTTCCTAATTCTGAAAATTAGAAAAGCACTTTACACTTATTGGACAGAAATATTTAAAAGTTAGTTTGATGATCTGGTCATTCGTAAGTTGCTTATAAGAACCTTCCTTTAGAACGAACACTAATGTTCCATGAATATTCCAAACTTCTTGCCACTGCCAGTTCCTTTCAGCCAAAATCTGCCAGGAACACACTTTTGGTTTAACAAGTTGAGTTTATGCTGGTTTCAGGGAGGCAAAATGTTCACAAAGTTAAGAATAGTGTGACTCAGTAAGAGAGTGTTAGAAAGAACTTCTTATACAATTTGGACACTGGTTGAATAATTTGAGCAAGAGGAAATTTGCTTTACATTGGATATTATTAGAAATCTGAGCAACTTTGTTACTGGATGTGTGGATAAATTTCATCTATAGAAAGGATAGATTAAAGATAAAGATGTAATGGGTAAATGTGTCAGAGAAATGTTTGCCATTTTGTGGATTGCTCAGTGACCTTGGATGAGGTAGATGTTTTGTGAGATTGTTTATGTCTAACGGGAGTACAACATCACTTAGCTGCAAGTACCAGATAAATATGTAATAACATTGATGCTTACTTGTGAGTATCAAATTTATTTCCCAGTACAGGGCTGGTTTTTTCCCCTTTCTTTTTCACGATGTTTAGCAGCAAGTACCTTAAAAGAAAGAAGATGATGTATATTTGTTTCTTTTAAGAAAACCTTTTATGGGGAATAGTGTGGTATTTGGTAGCATTGCATATTTTTGAGAAAAATTTATAGTTGGTATACATGTGTCATTACCTAAAATATTAAGCAAAATATATTCTTAAAGCCAATTATAAGTTTTCTTCATTCAAAATTTATAACAAATAATTTTTGTTGTCTTTTATTAACTGTGTGGTTACTTTAAAATTGTATTCCAAGAATTCTTCAGTATCTTATATGATTTCATAAGGACCTAGATAATTTACCCTAAAGACTCATTATGAAATTGGGCCAAACTCCTTAAACTGATTTGTTGGTGTATTGCCCTGCATGCAGAGGATTTATAGCTGCATTAAACAAAGCATGAAAAAAGTAAAGATTGATTGGAATTAAATAAGAGCAAAAAAGTCAGTTCTTCAGCACATTCCTTGGGTGAATTATTATCAACTCTGTTCTGTTGTGAGCCATTATGAAAACCCTAAGAAATATTAAATGAATTTTAAAAGCAAGTCATCTTTGATTTCACAATATAGAGAAAAGCTGTGAAGGGTTTTCTTCCTTCAATACATGTTAGGAGAAGGCAGGGTAAGAAATTTTGCTTTATAAGCAAAACGTGAAGCCAAAGTAATTCAATTTAATACCCTGCAATATATTTTATGTGTGCTTTTACTTAAAAGCAATGTTTTAGAAATGTTGGTTCTATGAAGCAAGTGTGTCTGGCCATTTTTAATAGAGAAATAAGGTTTACATTCCTTTTTTTTTTTCTTTTTCAAATTTTGAAAGTATAGTTACAATTTTAATTATATAAGAAAGATTTATTATTTGAATTACTAAGATGCAACATAAGTCTGCCCTAAATTAAACGGAATTACACCCAAATCTCCCTACTTTAACGTGACAGGGACAATATGTCTCTTCAAATCAGTCGATTTACATTATAAAAAGGAAACTAGAGGCCAACCTGGAGGATCACAAGGTCAAGAGATCGACACCATCCTGGCCAAATGGTGAAACCCCATCTCTACTACAAAAAAAAAAAACAAAAACAAAAAAACAAAATTTAGCTGTGCGTGGTGGTGTGCGCCTGTAGTCCCAGCTACTCAGGACGCTGAGGCAGGAGAACTGCTTGAACCCAGGCGGCGGAGGTTGCAGTGAGCCGAGATCACGCCACTGCACTCCAGCCTGGTGACAGAGCGAGACTCCGTCTCAAAAAAAAAAAAGAAAAAAGAAAAATGGAAACTGACGTCTTCAGATTAGTAAGAAATTACTCTTACTAAAGTTTTACTTTGACGTTTGAATCTAAGATAAATTTAATTTTAGTCAAAATTATTATTCTTACGTTAGATTGCATTAGTGTCATTTACAATGGCAATTAAATTTGGAACATTTTGGCCGTTTTTCTTCAAAATTAGAAATTTAAAAAACACATTGGAGTATTTCAACAACAACAAAAAAATCATGTATTAGTAAGGAATCATTTGATGCCCACTTTAACAGATGCCAAATTTATCAGATTATATTCACTATTCAAATATTCAGCATGAGAATGAAATTTAACTATTTTCAAAACTGGCCAATCCCTTTTATGAGATAGATCCTTAACATTCTCCTGGTGTCCTGGTCTGTTTCACCATATCACTTTCTTCAGAGCAGCACCAGATGGGCTGCACCTTCTTTGTGGCTTGCCCTGTCACACTGACATACCAAGCTGGCCACTTAATTCTGAGGTTTCTTATTGGTTTAACTGTTCCATTCCGTTGGTTATTGTCATTGCTGTCCTTTGAATGCTTGTGGTGGTGGAGCTACTCAAGTAAAACAAAAAAACAAAACAAGGAATATTTTCCCAAGGCTGAGTTCCCCACAAAGCTGACTCCGAGACTGAGATTGGAATGCAAGAGGTTATCTAGGAAGCTTTACAGAACAATACCTATGGAAGGGAAGTGACAGAAGCAAGACTGCTTCAAGGAAGAAGTTGAAGTTTGGTGAGATCTCAGTGGAGGCTGAGGCTACGATATTCATTCAGAGTTTTCCCCACTAAAGAAGGAGGCTGTCTGTGATACTTCCACATTGATCAGTCTTTGCTTGCAGTCTGCCCTAGTATGGGAATGTGACCTTGTGCAAGGCAGCGCTGAATTGAGGCAAGCTTCAAAGGTAACAACGCTTTTGGCACTTGGAGCATAAGTCTTTGATTTCTGAAGGGTGTTCTGAGTGGTGCTTCATAGATTATATCTTGAATACTATGCATTCATCCTTTATAACTAATTCTGAAAACATTATTTTTTTTTTTTTGCCACTGGCTAGAATTGTTTAACTAAAAGAAAAAAATATGCTATTCTCCTTTTTAAAAACTAACTTGTTTGTACAGCTCCTTTTTTTGGTAATAAACAGAAACATATATATTGTATTGACTTTCCTGTGATAGGGGTTTAGAGTGTGTATGTGTTTGTGTATGCATTTTTTGCATATTTTTGCATAAAAACTACACTAAAAATAGAATATAATTTCCTCAAAATATGTAAATAAACAAGGTATTTGTGTATTGAGGACATTCTGCTTTCCCACTATATCAAACTGTATATAATTTTTGTGCTCAGGATTATAGAAAACTATAGAATTTTAGAAAGCTAAAAAGTAGTATCTGTGAGCGATAAACAAAAATCCTGGTAATCATCATGAAACATAAGAAGCAGCACTGGAAAATATGAAAAACTTTGAGGAATACATTTTATAGTTAAATTTTTTTGAACTGCTAAACGTTTTAGGATTGTGTAATGAAAAACCATTTCTATTAATATATAATCCTCAAACTGTATATGGCATATTATATAATAATTAGATCTTTTAGTAATCTTACAAATAAATAAAACTCAGATTTTTAAATACTCCCTTAGAAAAAAAATTTAATATAAATAATGTCTATCATTTTTGTGACTGAAAATAGTTGTTCTCATTTGTGAAATGAGGGCATTAGTAACAGTCTCATAGGGTTATTATGAGATTAAATTACATAATGCATGCAAAATGTAAAGCGCTTAATACCATGCCTAGTGCATTGTTACTATTCATTAAGTGCTAATGCTTGTTTTTGTTGTAAATGTGAAATCACCAATTATAAAAATAGCTAAAGTGCATCAAATCATTAATTTTTTATGATATATTCCGGGAAAAACTTGTCAGGCTCACATCCTCCAAAATTAAAGTGTTAGTCCAAAAAGGCATTTAAAAATTCCTGTGTTTACTTCTATTGGTGGATATGGAAAAATCTCATAAAATGCATATTTTAGCCATAATAATTCACTAATTACGTTTAGGTGTAGTATTTGCAATGTTTTCTGATATAACTAGATTTATGTTTTTCTTTCTTTTTCTGTCACTTTTTTTACTAAGACCACTTGAAAAGACCAAGATATCTGTTTGCTTAATTAAGTTATAGCTCATATAAAAACATTTTAGAAGATAGAAATATTATTTTCTAATTATAAGTATCTAAATGAAGAAAATAATTGAACATATTCCTCTTTTGGTCATTTCCTTTAGGCAAGAGAGGTATGAACAGAGTCTAAGTAAAATAAATTAATTGTATAATGAAAGATGTTTATTCAGATTAAGGTGAATATAGTTTCCATTATGCATCCATTGCATCCTGAGATTCCATTGCATCTCAGGATCCGGAGATGCAAAATATCTCTATTTGCTTCCTAAAGTGCACTATTTTATGCAACCTCCCTTTCCTCATAGGCCTCAGCCATGCTGTGCCTTTAGCTACCTTATAGAAATATTTTCCATAGGCAATGGTTCTCCTCATCTTCATATTTTTGTATCATATGGTGTGTTATTATTTAATTTACATCAGGGTTACTCTGTAGATTAGATACCCAACATGAAATGTGAATAGTCATCAATGTCAGGAAAGCAGCTGAGTCAGGTACATTGAAATTTACTTGCAATCCAGAATGAAAAGGTCTGGGACAGGCAATAATGCAAATACATAAATAAAGACTCTCTCCTAATGAGACTAAAGTGTAGTTAGATGCTCAATGCATTTCCCTAAGTAAATAAAAAAGGTGCCATGTTATCCATTGGTTCATGAGAAATGACTCTGAAAAGGAAGTAGAGGAAAGTGCTTCTTAACTTTTGTAGAACATAAACAATTTGAGAAGATATTTGATATCTGTTTGTGTCTCAGACAAGGAGAGAATTACTTTTTTAGGATTCATTTTATCTGAGTAAAAAATGAATGTTTAGGCAAAGAGGGAGCTTTGACTTTCAAAACATCATCGTGGGTTAGCAATGTAATTCTAATTGTTTGTGATATGCACATACCTTCTATGAAAAATGAGATAATAAATATCTGTTAAGAATAGAACTTCTAACTTACTTGATGATGTATAGGGTCGTTTATCTCAATGTGAATTACTTACTAATGAATTACTGCCTGTTTCATTACTTGCATTGTTTATCCTTTATGTTCCATTCACTAGTCCAATGTTCTGTCTAGTGTGAACTCACGTATAATTAGAGGATTTTGCCTTCCCTCTGAAAATCATCAAATATAATCATACAAAATATAAAATTAACTTGATTGGGAATTGTTTTATGTCAAATCTGTGAATTTGAAAATAGTTGGTAATTGGTCATGGCTACATGAGCTGTTCTTCCGAAAGTGTTTTGTTTGTTTGTTTGTTTCTCTAATTGATTCATCTAAAAAGTTTTACTATTTCTGTGAAACTTATCTATCAGCAATGGTTAGCACTGAATTGACAATGAAACAGATGGCATTTATATACTCCTGAGTTGGTCTGTACAGTGGGGGTGGGGAGGGAGAGTGAGTGATGGTATCAGTCAAATGGAGACAGAAAGAGAGAAGCTGGGGTGGGAGGATTCATGAAAGGAAAGAAAATAAGATATTCTGTTGCAAGTTTTCCTCTTAGTCCCGTTATTTGCATTTCTCCTAGCACCCAAGATAGCTGTCTTTTAATTATGTTTATATAATCTTATTCTCACCATCTTTCCCTGGCTTGGGAGGAAAATCTAGGGTAGGTGGGTGTGTGTGTATAGAAATAAATTCCACATGAATACACCAAGAGGACATTCTGCCAGAATTAGTCCGTGTATACCTGTCCCTATTCCTCCTGATGACTGAAAAGTATAAATTCGTGTCATATAAAATTTGGTGGTAGGAGGGGTTATAACTTAGCTAGTTGTGTTGTGAAAAGTTGCATTTCTTCTGTTTTCCAATATTTCAGAGAACTGTGTGCATATTACTAACGCCATCTTCTCCCAGTGCTGTAGCAATACTTCAGATTTAGTCTTAGGTAATTTTATTGTATGTTATGAAATAATGTACAGGAAACCATTCATAGAAAATAAATAATTTCTAATGCCTAGAGAGTAAGAAAGATTGGCTGCTATAGGATGCATAAAGAAAACACTGTCCTTGGGGAACCAGAAAAATTTGACTTTAGTAAACTAAATTTACTATCATTATTATCCCTTTGGTTGCTGCCTTTGTTTACATTTCTTTCAATGGTGATCTTAAAATCAAGCCTTAGTCTTTCAATAATGTGTAATTCCTGATTCCCCAAATCCCAATGACCCTATCTCAAAAAGTATACTTGAGTGAAAATTTAAATATTTAATTCATTCTGCAGTTTAAAATAGCTTCTTGCTTTTTAAAAAATACTTTAATGTGGGAAAGACTTCAGTAACATTCCAATTCTTTTGTTTCTATGCTGACATGTTGCTAAAGTACAGAAGATAGAAATCTGCTTTGTGAAAATAATTGATCTTGAATGGGATCAAATTTTTGTTCATTCAAATATAAGGCTTAATTGTTAAAATTTTCATGGGACATAAACAAACATCTCAAAAATATTCTGCTTATGTTCACAAATTGATGTATTAATGAATTTTCTTCAACATGGTTTTATCACATAAGTCCCTTAGGGTTTATTATCTGAAGCTTCTAATCTGTTTGAAATTGCTTGGAGGGTGGGGATTATGCTGATTATTGGGTTCCTCAATACTGTTCTTCGTATGCTGGCATTTTTCCTCCAAAGCATAAAGCATTTTAGCTGAAAATGTTTCTAAAGATGATTTTCAGTACAAATACATGCCAAAGACTAAAAAAAAAAAAAAAAAAAAAAAAAAAAAAAAAAAAAAAAAAAGACTGAATATATTTTAGGGTATAAGCAACAAAAAGAGGTCTGACTAATTTAGTGCAAACTATATACAAATTAATACTAGGATTTGTTCCATTAAGTAAACCTGTAACTCTACAAAAATATTTTGACATTTTTGTTCAAAAAAGAAAAAATAAAAATACATCAGAAAGAAAACCAACAGTCAGATTTATTTATTGTTTTGGTAATCTACACATTTTGAAAAGCCCTTGTAACTCAACACTTAATATTTAAATTTTTTTTTACCAGTATTGAACATCTCTTTATATAAGAGAAAATGTATTCACATTTTCACTAAGATTTCTATTAAGGTTAATACATTCTTTTTCCATGTCAGCATCTCTTGTAGTGTAGCCAAATTTATGCTTAGAGAATTGCTTATTCTCTGCAATAGTTGGACTGAAAAGATGCAGAAAGAGGAAATGTTTAAGACACTGGAATTGATCAGTTGCTCAATACAATGCTGGAAAAGATTATGCAAATCAGAAAGTTTAATAAGAGAAATAAAACTATAGGCAAAATGAATCTCCTGGGAACAACTGTAACATGAAAAGGTTTAATATTTCAGCAACTGTTACTGATTTTACTTTGTTGTCTCTCCGTCTTCCTACCAGCTGGTGAACTCCCTTAATGACATCTCTGTATGATCTCATAATTTGTATTCACATTTGGTTATAATAATATCAGATGTTAAAGACTTCTTAGGTGGGGAGGAAGAGAGAGCATGGCCTCACTTACTTCCTCTGTCTGTTCTAGCCTGTTCCTGCTACCAATGCTTCTTCAGCCATTGGGTATAAGAGAATGGCAACTTACTTATTTTGCTTTTCTTCTATTTTTCATGGTAAATTTATAAAACATTTCATCCTCTCTTATACTCAGAAGCAGACAAGGTATATTATGCCAAGAAACAGACTTTTAAAAATCTTGGCCTTGAAGAATTTAGTAACTTTGATCTCAACAGGGTGCTCA